GTTTGGGGTAAAGCACTCAAGCTTGGTATGGAAATACATATGTATGCATGTATGTATGTGAAACTAATACCATACTCATGGAGAAAAATGAGAGTTATTGGAAAAGGTGGTGTGGCAACTCCCATGCAAATTGATTTTTCTATGCTGCATATCTCTGGAGGTGTTTATTGCAGAGGACTGGAACTTGGCACCGAGATGTGTATACAAAATTAATTCCATACTCATATAGAAGAATTTGTGTTATTCGAAAAGGGGACATGGTACCTCCCGTACAAATTTATTGTTTTATACTGCATATCTCCAGAGATGTTCCTGGTAAAGTACTGGGACTTGGTACTGGGGTATGTAAAATCAATTCTAAATTCATGGAAGAAGATTAGGGTTATAAGCAAAATGGGCGTGGCACTTCCTGTACAAATTGACTTTTTCTTGCCATATATCCCTGGAAGTGTTTGTGGAAGACAGAATCAATTTCATTAAATGGAAAAGGGAGAGCCGGGTTCGACCTTATAATCTAAAGCTCTCTTGAGGAATTTGCTACAGTAATGAGAAGTGGTATTTTATCAAGGCCAGGTTACTAAATTTGAGTTGGAAATATTAGAACTCGCCGTGGCACCTCCAAGAAGGTTTTACGTTCACGCGTCGTATACCTGGAAACCTTTTAAGGTAAACTTAGAGGGAGGAGAGAGGAGATTTTATAATTTCATATTTTTAAACGGCCTAAATACCTTAACTCGCTTAGAAAATAACGAGCTATAACGAAATGGGCACAGAAATAAAATCTAACATCATTAAATTATTTTTCCTATTTGTATAAAAGCGCGGGGTGAAACCCGCGGGTATAAGCTAGTATGTACATAAATGGTTTCATCTAGGGGGAAAAAATATATGTTATCGAAGTCCCTTAATTAAAAAAAAATATTTACTACATGTCTTGCAGATATGCCTTGAGGAGAGATTCCTAAAGCAGTTAGTCTTCATAAAACACTTCATTTTCACTTAAGATTTTTCCCAAATTGTCCACCGATATCATTTATATTCAGAATGCAAATGCTGCATTGTAACACATTTACCAAAAATCGCTGGTAACTTCCTGAAAAGAATACGAATGTTTTTGAAACTAGTTTACGAAAAGAATGTTCAAAGCTCTATTCACCTTGAGCTACAAATTTCGAAATTGCAATCCGTAGATTCTCTCAAGGATTTGCCTTTTTGCGAAGGCTGCTCATCAATAGTCTTTGCGAATCGACGCGAGTGTCTTTGTAACATAGCTATGCTACAGGAGATGAAATGTAATCCAAATTGGAGCTGGTATTTTTTTTTGCTATCACATACTTCCATTTTCACTATTTATCACCATTAAAATGGACTATTTACCACCATTAAAATGCAAGAAAATTTTGACAGCTGCTGTTGTTGTACAGCGCCACTTCCGGGCGGGTAAAATACTAAAATTTAGGCTAAGTTATTTTTAGCGAAAGGGAGGACAGAACCGCAATTTTTGGGGATAGCCAAAAATTCGGATAAAATGTTAGCTTTCGCATTTTAGCACATTTTAGCGATAGCGAAAGTTAGAATCCGGCTGCTGGTCGACAAAGTCGGCTTTGATTTCTAAAACAACTTCATCAGTAAGAAACGGGATAATAAGTCCATAATATTCGTCTTTGTTTGGTAAACAATTGCAAAAAAGGCGCGTTTTTTTCTTCTAAGAGTTTCATGGAACTTTCGCAAATATCAACAGCCCCAAATTTGTTACTTGCAAACGGTGACAGGTAATAAGATCAACGGAAATAAGGTCAATTGACTTTATTTCCCACCCTGGTGCGAAATAAAGTCAATTGACATTATTACCTTTATAATAAAATCCATTGACATTATTTCTCCTTCAAACATTAAATTTGTTTAGCTTCGCGGCGGCGCGCGTCAGCGCGCAACACCGCACGCGCCGCGCTCGCGCCCCGAGTACTCCGCGCGACCGACAACGTGTCAATAACGCTTTGAAAGTGTAACTTTGTTTGATTGCTGTCTAACGGTAATTTTTATTTTACAAAAACAAAGTGAAGTTTCTGTTATTTTGGAGTATTCCCTACAGAATGGCATCAAAAAATAACAACTGCGTTTACGAAATTTAAATTTCGCACAGCCAAATGAATCATTTGACCTAATGTGCAACGGTGCAGATCTGATGACCTGGACAAAAAATTGCTTCGCGTATTAAATATATAAATTAAAAAAAAGAAGTATAAAGAGGTGACAACCTTCTGTTTATATATTTCTATTTGAAAGCAATTTCAGTCCCCTTTCATTCGATACCAAATTTGATTGATTTGGATAAGCGGTTTGTTAATTATTACGAAAAGACTTTTATTCCGGACCTAAAAAATATTTGGCCAAATTTAACTTTTATTGCTGGACTTAAAAAATAAAAGTGCGGGTTGACTGATTATTTTATTCCAAATAAAATAAAAGTCCAAAGATAACCTTTTTCTAAGGACTTTTATTATAGAAGCTATCCCGACCCCTGCTTTCTTCCTGAGAAACGCAGAATTTGTGAAAGGGTTTAGACTGAATCGAGAACAGTGTGAAATTGTGCTTGAAGATATAAGCCCAGTAATCGTGAATAAAACCATTCGACAATTTTTTAGAATTTCTTTACTTTCGTTAACTTTTTGTAAATAATGCAACTTTTTCAACATTATTTGTTTTTCAGCCTTATATAATTAATAACACATGTTTTATTTTTCACAGCAAGTGCTAAACGTCCGCCAAAAACAAATGCTCGTAATAGAGCTATTGTTAATAGGGATACGAATTTCGATACGATACTATATCGATATTTTTTCATTCGTTGCCGATACTTTTTAATCAATAGTTTTCAAACGATATTTTTTGGAATCGCGTACCAGAACCCTTGTATCGTAACGAATCGCAAAGGCGCATTACAAAGTTATTGTATCTGACGTCACGTTACGAAACATTACGCTGCTAAAATCTCCATTGATACTTTTTTGTTAATATTGTTTTTGAATTAATTTTTAACGCAAATATAATATGAATTTTATGTCGAATATATTTTTTATTTTGACTTAAGCGCACCCTAGCGGTTCCATTTATTGCAAATCTATGTCGTACTATGACTTATCGCTGAAAAAGCCCATATGTCTATGCTTTGCAATTGATATGTAAAGCAATATGGTTATATTTTGGGCTTTACAGAGTCTAATATTCAGATTTAATTTTTTGAATTTGGTATTGATATCGGGAATATCGTTGTTTTCTTTGAGTAAACATTTTTTTATTTTATTTTTTTATACTTATGCTTACTGACAAAACCCACCCTATTCGAATAATTTCCATTAGTCGATTTTCAGATTACTCGATAGTGAGCGGTTAGACGAAAATGATGTATATTAAAGAGCAAACCAAAATGAATCTACAAATGCTTGTAGAAACTACATTTACAAATGGAGAATATTTCCCTGATAGCTACAAGTGCATAAAATAATTTTGTGTTACAAAAAATTATAGAACTTGCAGCTACAAGCGAATCCTTAATAACTTGTAGACTTTTTACAATTGTAAACTTTGAGTTACAGTTATAAGTTCTTCATCATCTAATCATTACGCTTGTAGTTAAAAATATTAAATGTCCATATGGTGTACTATTATTATGAACTGTTGGGAGCAATTTGGTGCTGTATCGGCTGCTGCTCCGAACAGCCTTCCCCGTTGAAAGAATCGGGCTTTTAACAGAATCGTTAACGGGAAGGACGCACAGCTTATTGACTGCTAGGCGCATGATGCCAGTCGACGTGCGCAGGACAGCTACTCCTGCAACACCGTCTACACCGGGGAAAATTTCGGCCACGCGAGCTAGAGGCCATTTTAGGGGCGCCAAGTTTTCATCCTTGATGCACATAATATCATTGACTTTAATGTTTTTCTGCGGTGTACGCCACTTTGCGTGCTGATTTAGAAGAGTCAGATACTCTTGACTCCACCGATTCCTGAAGATCTGTTGCATATGGGTGATGCGCTGCCACCGATCGAGACGATTTTAGTTCAGAAGTGGGAGAGCAGGTTCAGGCAAAGTTGTAAGCGGCCCACCATTACGAAAATCTCTGGCGTCAGGACGTCTAGATCGTTGGGATTTTCTGAAATCGGTACAAGAGGTCTAGAATTAATGACAGCAGCGATTTCGCTTACCAATGTATGCAATTGGTAAAACTAACAAGGAAAGAGCCGATTGTACTATAAAAATGTTGTTTAGCTGTTTCCCACAACCCGTCAAAATGTGGAGGTATAAATCGTCAGTCGAAGCCATTATTGAGAAAGAAAGCGACCACCTACTCGAATATATTCGAAGTCATCCAGAAATGGTGATAACGAAGCGATACTGCTGGATAACCAGAACTGTGCTCTTTGAACGATGCGAACCAACAGATGAGTTCCACGATTAATATCTTCAGCTGGAAGCTGTCATGTTGGCAATTTTTTTATGTTGATGAACTTGTTCACGTACCCGAAAATGCGCTGCATCATTGCGAATGAGTTGGTGTACTTAAAAGTTAGCGATATGTCGACTCAATCGTTTGACGTAAGCAGAACTCTTTGACGAACTTCTTGAAGTTTTAGTTGAGTTACGGAATTTTTAGGCCATTGGTTATCCGTTTCTCTCAAAGATGATGGTGCTTGCATCCAAAGAGCTGACCCAGAGAGTTCTCGTGGTGTCGCTCCTTTCGACATGATGTCAGCTGGGTTCATGACTGTAGGGACATATCGCCACACCATGTCAAGTGTGAGCTGCTGTGTAGCGCTGATACGGTTCGCGATAAATACGTTGAATTTGGGCGATTCTTCTTGGAGCCATGAACGCACGACTGCCGAGTCTCACCAACAATAAACACGACAATCAAAAAATTTAATTTATTTTTAACTCACCCACTAATTGCGCGAGCAGAGCAGCCGTACAAAGTTCCAAGTTCCGGAGCAGATGTGTTTGAACGTTTTCATCTTTGATTGAGTGAATATAAATGCAAGCACCATATTCTTCAAGGCTTGCATCGAAAAATCAATGAATTTCGAGGGCGGAGCATGTAACGCGGAAATGAAGACTGCTGTACATCTGCGAATTCAGCACGAAATGCGGACAAGGCCATTTCTAGAGAGTGTGGCAAGCTTTCATCCTATTCCAACTTGTCCCTTCAAATACGTTGCAATATGATTTTCGCTTTAGTCAGAGTAGGACCGATTATTACGAGGGGATCGTGACAACGAGCTATTGTGGACAAAGCAGAGCGCTTAAAATTCCTCTTAAATCCCAGTCTCGGCGTGAATGAGAACAAAAAACAGTCTTTAACGGGGTCCCAGACCAGTCCCAGAGGTTTAGTGAATTCACTGCCTTCGTCGAATTTCAGGAAGCCTTCTCTACCAACGTTGGGAATGCAGCAATGAATATTAGGGTCATTTGCATAGTTGAGAATTACCTCAGGAAAGAAGGCTAGTAGCTGCTTGATATCACTCACTTCTTCTACTGAGTTGACTCCGGATAGCAGGTCATGAACGTAAAAGTCCCGAAGTAAGAGCGTAAGACCAAGTGGGAAGGCCGAAGATTCGTCGAACGCGAAAATGCAAAAGTATACGATGCTTCGATTGGCAGGGCAGAGGACCCACAAAACATACAACCACCTAACAAGCCATTAGAAGCAATAAACGATTTTCTTTTACTTGTACTCACGATTCTCCCAGTCTTACAAGCTTGACTGGATTAATTAATTCCCGCAGCTTGCCCACTGTGACACCTACCTTGTCTAGACCAAAGATCTCCCTAATGTGGGCCTGAAATATAAGTCTTTTATTATCGAAACGTTTTCAAAGAATGTCTATTACAATGTGATAGTTAGCATGTTTTGTTTTAGTTTATGTCCAGAGATCTAACTGTATCCAGAGCTGCACCATTCAAACAAGAATGCAGGTGTGGTGGAGTTTATCACCATTCGTAATGTCGCCGTCCTTATCTATGATGGACATGAACATTGCACCACTAAATTTAGGTAGCGTCAACTGCGGCAACCGAGTACGGTTAACAAATCACAATAGAGCAGTTTTTTCACTTAACAATCTTACCCTTCAGGTCGCGTATTTTTTAGCCAAGTTTGTGTTGTTGCTTTGCGTGCATTTCGTCATTTAATCGAGTTTTCTTTTGTAGCTCGGTTGCCAAAGAATGCACCTAATGTGGCTGTCAAACTATCAAATAGAAGGCAATAGATGTTGTACCGCACTGCATATGCCCGTCTACAGACGGTTTTCGCGGAAGGTGCACGGCCGGTTGCACAAGCAAATATATAATGCGTTGCTAACTTAATCTCTATGTGTTTTCAGAAAACTACTTTATGTTTTGGTAAATCTCAAATAACTGTTATATAAAAAATTTAAACTAAAAAATCATTCTGAGAAAGCAGTCACACACATATACTTTCAAATGCCAAAGTGCTTAATTTTTTGAGCTTTTTTTTCATTGAAAATTTTTTGATTGAAAATTTTTACCCAAAAGCTATGAAGTAGCAGTTACTTTTTAACCCGTACAATCCAATTCAACTTAATGTGTTATTTTATGACTTTTATTTTTTTAACCAGAAATAAAAGTTCTATTATGACAGATATTTTTTTCTGCTTTTCGTAACAGTTATACTTGGACTTCTATTTTTCTGTCCTAAAATAAAAGCCTATATATGACAAAAAATTTAATTATCGTTGGAGAAAGTCACCTTAAGACTTTTATGTTTAGTAAAACATAATAAAAGTCCTTTATCTTAATTTCTGTTTTAAAATATTTTCTGTATAGTTTTAGACTAGTAGAGCAGTCTATAGAAAATTCATAGTTTTATGTCACATCTTCTGCCCAATTCATTGTGCATGCCAAATTTTTTGTCTAGTTTGATGTTTATTTTTCCATAAACAAAAATAACGATATTAAAACAAAATTAAGTATTGTCGATGTGTCGTTCTGTTTGTAACCAAATTATGTTACATATTGTGTATAACGTGTTTATAATGGGGTGTTTATTTTTAAAAACATAATTTTCCCAATTTATCTACTGATAAATTTGTTCTCATATCACTTAAAACCGTATCGTCGCTGCGCCAACAAAAACAGTTATGTGATTTTTGTCAATTTTTTTTATTGCATATTTTATTAACACTATATATTGCGCACATTTCTGCATTTGGCGTTTTCTTATATCTCTTTTGGTTTAGAACTGATCAAAAACAGCTATGTGCTCGCAGTATTAGAAATACTCTGAAACGGGTATACACTTACTTGCTTATAACTGTCTTTGATCGCAGATGAGCGTGCTTTGATTTCGATGTAAAAAATATTTATAAACCAACTAACACATATGTACATATGTATGCACATACCATTTACACTACATAGATTCTACTATGTACTATTTAATTTGATCGCTTGCAATTGAAATTCAACAATTAACAAAGGTAAAAAGTATGGAGGTAGACACCGTCCACTCTACATTAGAAAATGTATTCAATCCACCGATATATTCACCAATGGATTACATAAGTCGTATGCGATAGGCGAGGCCATCACATCCTTATATTGTTAATTATTTAGAGTATACATATGAAATTATTTCTTGTATATACGAGCTTTCATTGGATATCACCTATCGAAACTCTGAAAAAGTGCATTGGGTCAAGAAAAAACAGTTCGCATCTCGGGTAATTTCATGGTTTGTACAAAGTATGTGTCCACTCATCCCTTTGCATTAATTTTTATTACAAAAATCCAATAAAAACGTTTCTGACCATTTTTCATTACATAACAGGAGCAACGGGCCATTAAATAATAGAGTCCTCAACTTCTATACATTGCATCTAGGCCTAACGGCAGTATTATGTCCAAATTGCATACGATTCCATACCGCTAACAGAAAATTTAAATCGTGTATAACAGCTATGTGCTTTAAAGCGGCGCAAATGTTGATCACGTCGCAATTGGTCAAAATCAGTAGCATATTTTTAATATAATTTTTTTTTAATACCACACTTTCAAAATATTGCCTATTGGAACCAGGAATCAGTTTTTTTGCTCTCCAGAAAAGTTATTAAAAAAAACATAACTGTTTTTGTTGGCGCAGCGACGATATATGAGACATTCTTTTTCATATCGAACACCAAATTTGATGTGACACTTTCGATTAGCTTAAAATTTTTTTATGGGTTCTATATATGAAATAAGCTAACTCGTGTTCGAGGAATCTTTTTTCTTTTGTTTTCTTCAGAGATATGATCTGTCAAAGTTTGAATTTTTTCGGGGTTCTGACTAATCATGTACTACTTCAGAGACTTCGTCTTACCATCGTTTTTAAGCTAAAAAAACGGGCATTTTTACATAAGATGGTCAAGATTGTCCTAATGCTAACTTATATCCCTTAAATGCTCATAGTGACCGATTTAAGTGAAAAAAATGTATTATATGTAAAACGCTAAAGAAAAAATAACTGCATTTTTAATTTTTTTAATTTTCCGATTTTTACCAAGTTATTGAGAAAAAAATGGTTGTATCTTTAAAGATACAATGAGCACTCACGCGAAACTTACCTTTGCAATGAAAGTATAAAACTCACTTATTTCAATAAGAAAAACCATTGTTTAGTGTGAATAAATAAACATATTTTTATNTATATTTTTATTGAAATTCTATAATTTTTTTTAAAATTAAGTATAATTAAAAACAAATAATATAGAATATTTACATATTTAAAAATGATGGTAGTTATAAAAGCAGTTTTTTTCAGCTGTTAAACAAAGATTTACCTTACACTTGCTGCAATACATCCGTGTCTGTCCTGAGCAATTTGGAAACTTGCATCTTCCTTTTTTATCCATCGTCGTCCAGTGATCAGTTCCGTCTAATCTGACATCCCTCGGAGGCGCTAGACTTGAATTTGGCTTGCATCGCTTTTCCTTGATCTGCGTTTCCAAAGTTCGCCGTCCACGATTAGGAGTTTCTTTGAATTTATATGAAAATAGTGCATTAGCTATTTCCAACTTAAAATCGATTAATCTAATATTTTTAAAATCTGGCCGATCTCTATGAATTCTTTTATAAAGTATCCAGGCATTAACGCATGTCATTCGCAAACGTCAAGCTGTGAAGTTCTACTTATTTTGTGCCTTGATTGGTCTTTGTATTTTGCAAATTTTATTGTGCTAATTTTGAGTAAAAGTTGCTATAAAAAGTGCCTACGAGCATCCTAGTGTGATAATAACCGAAGCTAAGTGAAAGTTTTGTGATTTTTGTGGTTTTTATTAAATTTAATTAAATTTCACTAGCTTACATCTAATCTTGACGAGTCATTTGTTGTTATCATTGTTGTTGTTATTCCTTTGTAGTTAACTGAGATCGTTTCTATTTTTGCACATTTCTTTTTGCTCTTTTTGTTTACTTCGTTTAGTATTTCTTGTCACAGCTGTTTGCGCTGCGTTTAT